GACTTCCGCGCCTTGGCCACGAACCAAACGCTGGCTGCACAACTACCTGCGGGGCCGCTATGTTAGGGTATGCACTCGCGAACAGCACTCCCGGAAACAACTCACCTCAGCTGGAGCACCGCAAGGCGGCGTCCCGGGACCCCAACTCTTCCTCTACTGTGTGGATGATCTGCTGCGCCGCCTGGGCAGCATCTATTCTGCCTCCGCATTCATGTACGCTGACGAAAACACACTTGTTGCCTCATGTGCGGACATCCATGCCCGTGCTGCTGCAATGCGACCGCTCTTGTCTCTTGTGGCCACATGGGCTGCCGAGCACAGCCTAAAAATCAACGTCGCTAGGAGCGAAGCTGCTCTATTCCACATCTCTTCACACACACACGGTCTGACGAGGACATGGTCGATCTCCATCTTGTTAGCGGGAACCTGCGTATTCAGCCACGCCCAGTGCGCTTGCTGGGCAACACGTTCGATCAACTTCTTAATTTTGTTACGCATGCTTCCACCGCTGCAAAGAGGACCATGCCACGCCGCCATCAGCTGCGTCTGGTCGCGGAGGCGGACGCGTCCCATCACACCATGCGATCCTTTTTGATTGGATACGTTCATAGTGTGCTATTTCATAATGGCGAGGCAATTGTCCCGTGACTCGCCCCCACTCACCTCCATAATATGGAAGTACGGTACCGCGACGGTAGCAAAACATTCTTGGCCTGAGCGCCTCTACGGAAGACACATCTGTCTATTTGGAGGCCAATCCTCTTCCGCTCCGTGAGATATTTTGGCGTCGTGCACTCACACAATACGAACGCTATATACGCCTCCATGATCACGAGGATTTGCGTTCCCTTATCTACTCGGAACCTATGCCTTCGTCCATGCATGGGAAAGCGGCGACATCGATCCGCTTCCGAGAGATGCTGCTATTAATGGATTGCTACGCGTCTGTGACATTATTGGGACACCCCACAACCACATTCGCGCGCCTCTTGCCCAACATCGAATTTTCCCCTGGGACACTGTGATCTGCAACAACGTGAGATTTTATCAGCCACTGTTTGCCGAAGACGCCTCTGACGATGTCAGGCGCACGGCTTTTTATTCTACTCACTCCTCTTTGGGGGATTGTGATTTTGAATTGTGGACGGACGGTCCTTCATACCTCGCTGCACTCGCGTCCGGATCCGCTGCGCTATTATATGACTCCACCACGACAAATGATCTCCCTGTGGAGGTACATCGTGCAGCAGCTGGCAGCCTCGCATGCTCATATAGGGCAGACTGCCTTGCGATCGAAAATGTTTTTAGACATCTCATACCTCCTTGTCTGGGAGCATCCCAATCGCCCACACGAATGCTGGAGGAAACGGACTCCCTCTCGGCAATTGAGGCACCTCGCGTTGCCCACCGACCGTGCGAGACCGCGTTACTGAGCAAATTTGGATTATGCTGCTTTCCTTGGTGAAGCGAGGTCACCCTGTGGATTTTATATTTTCCCATCACACTGCGGTATTCCACGCGGTGAGGCCGCTGAGGACGAGGTCACGATTGCACGATCCCTCTCGCAGGACTGCGTCAATGCCTGGCACGTGGAATTCCTCACTGCAGTGAAGCGGTTATAATGGAATGGTGCCCAGGAGGAAAAGGAAGGCGCGCACACCGCGTGACAGGCGCCTGTCGGTGTGGCGAGGACTCTATTCCTGGTGCTGACCCGGACATCGGTCCCCGAGTGGCGGCACTGCGCACAGGCGCGATGCGACTCCTGCCCACTCTTCGACAGGCCTGCACGCGCCCTGCGGATCACAAGGAACCCTCTGTGTCGGTGGCGCCGTCCCTCCCTCACTGCGGTGACCGGCCCGCCTCTGCCTCCGCCGGAACCTCTTCCCGACGTGAGCACCGCAACTCCTTGCCGACCAGCGAGCGGTGGATTGACGTCCTCCTGCCCAACCTGCGGCAGACTGCACATGTCCGTCCACAGTATGAGGGCACATGCCGGACGTGCTCAGCCTGGCGTTATAATAGTTTGCGAGGGCCTCCCATGCGGATGCCACAATGGCTCGACCGTCTTCCTAACAGGCGCCTCGCGCGCAGTTCGCCACCGAAGTTGCCAAGCATGCCGGCAGGCGAGACACGCAGGAGGCACAAACGCGGGAACTCGAGATGGACCAGGCTCTTCCGCCACCGCCTCATCACGGACGCCACCGGCTGCTGATCCCCGACGGACCACGGGAGACTCCGCCTCATCCACTGCGGGAATGCCCTCGTCGTTGGGAACTGGGACTGCGACTGTGTGGGACTGCCCCAGCCCGCACGACGGAATACTTGCCACTTTTGTACGGACGGCCCTTGCGCTACTCACTCGTTATTGTAGCAGCATACAACCAAAACAAGATAACAATCTTCTTTGTGGTGAATATTGGCCGCACTTCCCGTGGACCAACAATCCGCGTGGTGTGCGGGGATCTCTTCTTTTTTTATTGTTACTATGCTTTTGTGCTGCTGTGTGCGCTGCACCTTCTTGTGTGTGTGCGCACCCCTCCGTGAGGGGTGCCGACACGACGGACCGCTCTCGCCGTATGTGCATGCGGTGGAGCCTTGTGTGCCGCTCCTGTTTGCTTCTCCCTCCTCCATCTGTGTGTTGGTGTTGCGGCAGGGCTGTGTGTGTGTGTGCCTGCTGCCGTGGATTGGAGTGTGTGTCGTGCGTGGTGTGCGGCGTACGGTGCATGCCTGGCTGCTGCCCTCTCCTCATGTGGTGTGCCCTCTGTGTGTGTCTGCCGCACCTCTCATCTCCCCTGTTGCTCTCCATGTCCCTCACTGTGCAGATCAGCTCCACACCACTGAACGACCACACTCACGATGATGATGACGTGCCGTCTGCTGTGCGCCCTGTTGGTGCTCGCCCTCTGCTGCTGCTGCCCGTCCGTGTGCGCGGCAGACGCTGCGCCTGGAGCTGGAGCCGCCGCCTCTTCTTCCAATACGACCACGACGACGACTACAACAAAACCACCGACTACCACCACGACCACCACAACAAAACCACCAACCACGACGACCACCACCACTGCGCCAGAGACACCAAGTACTACGATTACAGAGGCGCCGGCTGTGTCGACCACCCACGCACCGTCACGTCTTCGCGAAATCGACGGCAGCCTCAGCAGCTCTGCGTGGGTGTGTGCCCCGCTGGTGCTCGCCGCATCCGCGCTGGCGTACACCGCTGTGGGCTGAAGAGGTGTGTGCGGGCTGTGCGTGCCAGCACTCAACCGCGGGGATTTGTGCGCGTGTGTTGTGGTTCACTGTATAAAATAAGAGAAAATAATGATTGTGTTTTGCTTCACTTGCTTCTGCTGCCGTGCTGTGTGCTCCGCGTTGTGCCCCGCATCCGCCACGTTGAACGCATCGCGGACACACTCATATGCATGCGCACTGGAGCCCTGGGTTTGTTTTTCTTTTTTAATTATTGTTTTTTATTGCTTTTTAAACTTGTGGTTTGCGGTGTGGTGTGCGAGCTCTGCAATCGTACTGACTCCATCTGTCTCGTGGTTTGTGCGCTGCTGCTGCTGGAGTGCTGCCATTTGTGGCTGTGCGGTGGGTGTGTGTGGTGTAGCGGCCGTGTCTATCTTTTTACTTCCCTCTCTGTTGACGTGGTGTTACTTTTGCTGAAGGCTACACGCAAGTGACAGGAGTGGTGGCGATGATGACTGGCCGTGTGCTGCTGGTGTGTGTCCTCTGCGTGCTGTGGTGCGGGTTTTCTTTGGTGTCGGCAGATACCGGGGATGATCGTGAACATTCCGGCCAAGGTGTTGTTGGGAGTGTTGGTCAACCTCCTTCCCCAGTTGGGGTCATGGTGATAATGGAGTTGTCACTGATGGAAGCTCTCTGAGCGGTGGAAGTCACTTGCCGGGTTCTGCTCCTACGGGTGGCAAACCTTCACTTCCCGGTGTTGGTGAGTGTGTGGGTTTAACTAAATCCAAGGATGCCTTAACTCTTGCAAAAGAGGGGCATGAATTCGTACGGGATCAGCATGAATTAGTGCCCCAAGTTTCGCACCACACTGATGCGGGAACAGGAGGGAAAAGCGATCTCAGTGCGCCAGAACAGTCGCCCAACGCAAAAACAGAATTAGAAAATGGTGGTGGTGTTTGTGGTGATGATGCTGCGACTGCGGAGGGTGAAGTAATAACCACCGTGAATGAAGAACAATTGGGCGTATCTTCCACGAGCGGCAGCCATCCACCAGCAGCAGACCGAGGGGCGAAGGAGCAGAAAGGCACAGTGGAACAAGCAGCATCAACAGCGGCACTGACGCCAGTGGTGGGGCGAGAAACAACACCTAAAGGGGACACCGAAGAGGACTCACCGGAGGATAAAGCCGCAACCGGCGCAGGTATCACACAAGATATACCAGCTGCCGGTCAACAACAAACACATTCTTCATCCACTTCTACAACTGGAAATGGTCCGACTTCTGCTCTAGGAAAAGGGCGCGCTGCGGAGGACATTTCCAACAATAACGAACGATCCGGCAAAGAACTACTGCGAGAAGGAGCGGAACATGAAACTGTTGCTGGTAGCCAATCGCAAGCAATACCAGCAGCCACCGCCCGTAACACACTTGGCACAACCGTTTCTGGCGGCAGCGACAACAGCACCACGATAACTATAGCCGTGCGGTCTGACACTGGCACAGAAGGCACTCCAACCAGCAATCATCCGAACCGACAATCCATTGAAGGCGCCACATCACCCGGCATGAATTCCGATGGTGAAGCTGCATCAGCCAAAAAATATGATACGGTACCTCAGAGTGCAGGATCCACAGCAGCGCCAACCACAGACAACAAAACACGTGACACAGCTTCTCATGGCGACAGTGACAGCAGCACCGCGGTCTCCCACACCACCTCCCCTCCTTTGCTTCTTGTTGTTGCGTGTGCGGCTGCTGCTGCGGTGGCCGCGTGAGAGTGAGTGTGAGAGAGCCGTGCACCGCCCGCACACACACTCTTCCTTCTCACTCTCTCTGTGTGTGTGTCCCCTTGCATGGACTCTCGCCCTCACCTCACCCCACGAAGCACACACAATAATGTGCCCATTGTATATATGCATGCACACCCATGCAGGCCCGTTGGTGCTCTCTTTTGCACGACACGCACCGCTGCCGTCCTGCCTGGCTGCATGGGCGGAGCACCGTAACTGTTTCTGTTTTGTTTTTATTGCATTGATTGGGCGACCTCTCTCTCCCTCTGTGTGTGTGTTTTGCTTTACGGGAGCAATGAGAGTGTGTGTGCGCTGGTCGTCCCACGCTTCGGCTTTTTGTTTTGTTTTTCTTTTTGTATTGTGGTTGAGAGCACCTGTTACCCCTTTTTTTTTTATCGATTATTGGTTTGCTTTGATTGCAAGCGTATGATTTTCTATTTGTATTTTATTTTTTCCTCTTGAGGTATTGTGAGTGTTTCTTATCCTTCTCAAGCCATGAAGTGTTTTCTGTTACAGCGTGCGGCAGTTGATCCACGTCACCCCATCGTCTGCAGTGCTGCTGGAGCTTCTGTTTGTGATGATGTTTGTGATGTGTTGTACCGACAAGCGCTTTTCTGCCAGCCTGACGTGCTCCTGCTCCTCTGACAAGGCGATGCGTGCCCACAGGGCGAAGTCGATCCCGGCTGTGGTGAGGGACGTGCCTTTTGGATCTGAGGGTGCGTCGCAGACATGCACCGTCATCGGGAGGAATGGATGGGCGCCCACCCGCATCGATGTGTCGACAAGGGACCTGGATGGTACCAGGAAGTATTGCAGCTCAGAGCGGTATTGCGCAATGAATTCATCGAATGAGAATTGCGACTGTAAAGATGATGTTTTTTCGTACTGAAGAAAAGGGAATTTTTCCACTTTGTCATACGTTGAGGCCACTGTTCTTTAATATTCTGAGGACCGTCCGTAGCGATGTGGCCAATTTTTCCTTCTTGAATGCTGCTGTCGTGCGACATGGATATTATCCAAAGAGTCGAGGGCGAGGGCATTCCCACAGCGTGTGCGGCAGGGCCTCCCGTGGATTGTCGGGGCTCAGCGGCTGGTGGGGCTTGCAGCAGAGGAGTGGCTGAAGGGCTACGGCTGTCATTGGAGCATGCAGAGTTGCGTTGTCCGTTTTTTGCTCGTCGATACGCTTGACATTTTCGGTAGTGACCTTCGTGTGAGGTACTTCTTGGGGAGACCGTGGAGCTGTCGCAGAATCCACATGTGAGGTCTTCTGCAACAATTGGAGTGCCAGGGTGGACACGTCGGCTGTGTGCCTTCATATGATGGACGGACGAGAGGACGCTGCAGCAGCTTGGGCAGGACGACGTTGATCTGCTGCTCGTCGTTCTACGAGGAGGTGCCGTGGACACGCCAGTTGGAGGTTCCGGAGGAGGTCGGGGCGGTCCTGCCTCTTCAGTGTGAGGGAGGGACGGCACCACCGACATAAAGGGTTGCTTGTGATCCGCAGGGCGCGTGCCGGTCTGCCGAAGAGTGGGCAGGAGCCGCATCGCGCCTGTGCGCAAGGAGAGGCGGTGCTCACGTCGGGAAGAGGTTCCGGCGGAGGCAGATGCGGGCCGACAACCGCAGCACAGCCGATCCCAGAGGGCAGGGACGTGGTGCCGCCATGCCTCGGGGTATCACAGGCCTGGGCTCGAGAGGGCACCAAGCTGCTTTGCACGGACCTCCAGCAGCATGGAGAAGCCACCGCGGAGGGCATGATTGCGGTCCTCCCGCTTGCGGACAACTTCAGCTCGGGGCAGGCTGCCTCCGGGTGAGGCAGTGTGCGCGTTGCATGCTACATTCCGTCCGTCCAGATACATGTGGGAATGTTGCGCCTTGCCGCTCGTACGGTGCCTCGGTGCATCTCCAACCATGTGGTCACAGCGGCCAGAGGCGTTGCACACGCCGAGGTGCAAGCATTCCAGTCAGCTGCACGCAGCGCAAAGGCAGCATGTTTCCGTCGTGGCAGCATGCCTGCCTGTCGCGGGATGCCGTCCTCCGTCCTCGCAGTGTGGGATGGCAGATGGCGGCCCGAGTCCATGTAAACAAGTGGACGTCCAGTGGGAGACACGCAGTACGCGTTGCGCAGTCACGTCGGGAAAAAGGACACGGCGGCCGCCAATCCGCGCTGCCTGTGCCGGGTCGTCGGACAGCTCAGAGTCCATGCCGCTTGGGGTGGCGGCGAGGTCCTCTCCTGCCGCCGTTGATGGTGAGCAACCGTCCTGTAGCTCATGTTGTAGATTCAGGACGTCCGCAATGGGCGCTGCAGAACCAGGGCGACGAATGGTGCTCGCAAAGTGAGCAGCGTGGGCAATTGCCGATGGAGGGTTGCAGAGGTTCCCAACGTGCATTCTGGGGCAGGCCGGTGGGCACACGCGGAGAGCGGTGGTCTCCACGCAGTTGGTGCCAGCAGCGACAGGCGCTCGCACGGCAAGGTGTGGCGCACCAAGAAGACCACGCCACCGGCACACCCACTGCAGGCCTGGTGGAGGTCACCGCAGCCAACGAGCCTCGTCGCCAAGAGCATTCTTGCATAGCACTGTGCAAGTACTTGTGTGTGTGCTGCAGGATCTGGAAAGAGGAGGAGCACAGGGAGGCACATCAGCACAGCGAGCGGCACAGCTGGATGGCAACGATACACGCGGTACGGCCCCGACATCAACAATCACGCACGGCGCAAGAAATTCACACAAAGGAAAAAAATGAAAAAAAAACACGGCGGCAGGGTGTGGCTGTGTGTGTGGCGCTGCGGGTGTCTGCCCGCCCTGACCGCAAGAAAACAAAACAAGAGGGAAGAAATGTGTGCTCCGCCCCACAGGCCCTCGTCACACGCCCAAACGTCACGGCTCCCTCAGCGCGCCGTTCGTCACGGCCCCTCCTCATGCGTGCGGCAGGCGAGGCGCACAGGGCCGTCGTCATGAGCGTGTCGGTGGTGTGCGAGTGGAGCAGTTGGGCGGGAACACACGGCACCCCTCACAGGAAGAGTGCAGCAACAAACAATTGAAGAGGGAAGAGTAGAAAAGAAAACACGTCCATAGTGACTGCCCCAAAAGCAAAAAAAAAAAAGCAAAGGAATGAGAGATTAGGAAAAAAAAAAGTAAAATCAACCAAAAAGTAGCAAACAGGAAATTAAATTTAAAATAAGCAAAAAAGAAAAACCTATTTGAAGGGAAAGAATTAGTTCTTGGACGCAATTCGGTGCTGGGGGGTCGCAA